CCCAAAACATGTCCTGCACACATTTTAGGAAGTAGACGTAAAATCAATTAATTGAAATGAAATGAAAAATTAAAAAGCGTTTCAGATTAATTCTGCAAATCTTTTTGTCAAGAGAAGAGATGGGGAGTGGGGTACGTCGAGGAGGCCGGGGTTGCTGGGGGTGAGGTAGAGGGTCACGCGGTGGAGGTCGGACTGAGCGGCAGCTGCGGTGTAGGTGGGCACCCACCCGGCGTACCGGGCAGGCCCATCCACGGACGCGTAGGGGAACTTGATGGACGCAGCTGCACTGCCGGTGAGCGTGCCAGTGCAGGCAACGAAGAGGAACAGCGCCAGAGCCAACGACGTGGTGCTCATCTTGGCGCCTAGGGTGTAATAAAAGACCGCAATAGTCATTTTATTTCTTTTCGCTCTTTTTTTTATTGCCTCCAAACTCCGAAACGGCGAAGCGTAGCCAGAAAAGTTGTTTGCAAAATGGAGCAAGCACATCCACGCGTGGGGGTACTCCGCCAGCTTCATTTTCTATTTATTTTTATAATAGTTAACACTATTTTAAGAATTAAAATATATCAAAAACAACAATCACACAGATCACCTTGAGCACAGTGGCCCCTGCAGGGATTGTGCCATGGCAAAGAGGGAGTCCTCATTGGTGCCCCTGGCAGTATGATACTCTGCCATCACCAGGTCTCACAGGGACAATGCATTGCACAGCTTTGGCCTTTGCCTGAGAGCACACAAATATGTCACCAGCAGAGAGGGACTAGATATGAGTTCAATGTCATGCAAATTGGCTTCAATCCTCTCAGTTATCACCATCATTGCTGTTTCCCATGCTTCCCTCATGGGTAGGTAGGAAGATGACAAGGACATCACTCAACTGGGTGAGGAAGGACTCAATGTTGTTGTTTTACCCAACACAAACTCTCATGACATTGAACCTCTCTCTGCACAGTCCCTCTCTGGTGACATGTTTGTAACACAAACTCTCATGTAGGTGTATGTTTATGCACAACACAACAACCACCACAATACAATGCAGAGTCTGGTGTGACAATGATTGGCTCATCAGACTTTCTTTACATCACCCCATATTTGTTGTAATGATTGTTTTCTTTGTTTAGCACATACTTTATGATTGTGGACTTTCAGTTGTCTTTTTTGCCTTTTGCAGCATTTGGATACAGGGATGTCACATATGTACATGTGTGTGTGTGTGTTCAGTTGGGGCCTGTCCATAGGCTCCACTTGTACTTTTTCCTACTGGGACTCTCATTGATGGTCACCATTTGTGATGAGGATGGTTGCTCCTGCTCACATTTGGGGTGATCATGGTGAGTGGGGGATCTGTGCTCCATCCTTGGTATAGGACTGAGAAATGTGCTGTTGCTGTTGTTGTTGTTCAGTCTTTGTCAGGGACATGAGGCATGTGTAGAGTGATTGTCTGATGGCCACTTGTATTTTGTCATGATGCTTGTGGCTATCATCAAAGATGTCACATTCAATGCTGGCATTCCAACAACATTGCTGCCACTTTTGTACTGACTCACTTGTCCCTGATGGAAGGATGCCATCATACACTGCAATGGGATTGATGTTGTTGTTGTTGTGCAAGTATTGTGTGAGGATGAGGACAGTGACAGTCCACTGCCTGTGGATCTCAACCTCTTCCTCAATTTCCTTGTTGTTGTTGTTGTCATTGTATCAACCTCACCCATTCATTTGGCACCTCTATTGGTTGAGTATGGTTGGTCTGACCATATGCAGTTCTGTGGTTGTTCCTCCCCCTGTGTGAATATGGATGGGGGGGTGGAATGGTTCCTCATTGCACTCTCATCATCTCTAACTGTACTGCTCATTGTAGGTTGTTTGCTGCTATTGTATAGGCAGGTTTTATTCTGTTCAGGTGCTCATGTCCATGTGTAGTATGTAATGCTGGCGCATGGCTGTTTGCCTCAGGTGAAAAATAATAAAACGTAAACTGCTTAAGACACCAGCGCCTTTCCTTGACTTCCCTTTTCCTCCTGTTTTTCTTCCACCCACCGTTTCTGGATGCAAACCCCAACGCTGTTCCAAAAACAGAAAAAACAGGAATGTGACAAAAACTTCAGATCATTATTACCTACCTCGTTCAATTGGGCCAAAAGTTGGGCAGGGAATTGGGGTGGAGTTGGAAGATTTGAGAATGAGGCCGGCCCAACCCACCATTTCACTGTATAGGGGGGATTCACCATAGCCTTGGTTTTCACTCCACAGATGCCGATGCTTCACCATTGGCCCGTGTTGGCGTCTCTTTCGACGCGCAGCCAACCTACTTCTTCTACCACCACCACACCACACCATTAACAACCATGTCGTTCGACTACACTGGTTTCAAGCTTGGCGAGAAGAAGAACTTCAAGGACAAGGAGTCTTTCCACGCTGCTGCTGAGGTTCCTGCCACACATCTGACGCACTCTTTTCCCTATATCTGTGTCGCTCTTCTTTGCTCACTTGCTCCTCCTTCATCTGCTTCTCTGCAGAAGCAGATCCAGGACAAGCTGGGCGCTGACTGGAAGCTCACCGTCGACTGGCCCTCCATCCAGACGGCCACCGCCGAGATCCAAACCCACCGTCTCGGGCTGGGCATCTACATCTATGAGAGGTACTGCAAGTGCATCGGCGACGAGCTGGCCCAGTGGGGCGAAGACATCGTTGAGGCCGTCAACGACTCGGTGACGGAGAAGCAGATCATCATCGGTATGAGCCCCGAGCAGGTCAAGGAACAACAATACGGCGTCAAGGTGGGGGAACAATACTACATCAATGTGGGCAAGACTATCGAGGTGCGCATCCAGCCTGCCAACATCTCCTCGGACTACCCCTACTCCAACCAAACCACCGTCACCGCTATCGTGGAGAAGTCTCTGTAAGTAATCGTGTATCAGTATTACCCCCCCCCCCACCTGGGTAGCATACCAATACAGCGTGTCCCATTCACTTCATATGGTGCTTTCTTGTACCCCTCATTCTCTCTCACTCCTCAATCAATAAAATGAGATCATAAGTGATAGTGAAAAAAATGCAGCATTCTTCAATGTCGTTAATGCACGTAAACGCACAAACGCAAATATATAGGTCCATCCACCCTGTTTGGGTATCTTGTATCGGCCTGCTCTGCTGCTGCTATGTCGGTTTGCTTCTTTTGTGAGGGGACGCGCGTACTACCACATGTATACACACGCATGCACTTTCCGAGATGGTGTGCCACGTCCTGCGGTGGCTGAGCGTGGCCGAGCTGGGTCGGGCGCAGCTCGTGTGTCGCCAGTGGCGCGACCTCATCCGCGGCGCCAAGCGTTGCGACGACCACGACCACAGCAGCGGCGCTGACCACGTGCTCAAGGACTCAATCGCCGACGACCTGTGGCGCGCGGCCTTTCTGCAAACCTGGCCGCTGCTTCCCTCGAATTGGCCCCATTAGCTGATGAGGAGGAGGATGACGCTGATGACGAGGCCGGTGGCGCCGACAACGATGCTCTTCTGGGGGGCTGCAGGTGGATGCAGATCGCCAGGGAGCGCTGGATTCTGCAAAAGAAGAGTACGCCCGCCTGGCATACAGAGTTGAACTCAGTCCTGATCGAATATGCGCGTGTGCGGTGTGTGCGGTGTGTGCGGTGCGTCGTGCATGTGTGGCCTGTACAGACACCACACAGCCGCGGGCTGCAGATGAGGAGGGCGCCGAGGAGGACGCAATCGCCGACGACGCCACGAAGAGGAACGAGAAGGGATTCGGGGACATCGTTGAGCAGATGCGCGCGTCCGTTTCCGAGCTCCTGGACGACCCGCAGCAGCTCACGAGCGCGCACGCGCACGCATCACTCAGCGAGCTGGCCGCCACCGTCCTCTACCGATCGATCAAAGCTCGTTACAGGTAACATTTCAGTATATATCAATTAATTAATATATCAGTACATATTAATTCGTATTGTTGCCTTATCCAGGATCGAGCCCCCACGGCATGGACGACGGCGAGAGTGAGTATCATGCGGTCGAGGCGGTGTTCTACAGCCTGACGACGGGTGAACCAGTCTACGTCTTCTACACGTACCGCTACAAAGCACTGGAGACGGGCACCATGGTGAGCGTGTGCGTGTGCGGTGTGTGCGTGTACCAGAGTGGCTGATGGTTAAAAAAAGATTAGCTCCGTTGTTTGTGTTTGGTCAGACCACCTGCTAATTGGCCACACCCCGGGCGTGTTTGGCCTCCTGCTTCTCTCCGGACGTTGGCGACCTCTCCGGCCCGGGTTCGTGGTGGTCCGACCCATCGACGTCGCCAGCGGCGGCGCCCTCGTCGTCGGCCTGCTCGTCCTCACTCCGCCTCCTGCCGCCCAGCAGGGGCAGAGCCGTGGTGAAGTGGAGCGGATAGATCTCATAGCGCGGCGCGTTTTCCTGTGTGTGCAGTTGGTCAGTACACGACACACGACACATACAACACGACCGCACACGCACGACACACGCACACAACACAAGCTCGTTGTCGTTTGGGAGAGAAAATGGTACCATGACCGACGGGCACAGGCTCTGGGGCAGGTAGCGGCCGTAGAATTCGAAAAAGTTCTCTCGTTTCTGGGTCTCGACTTGATACCACACGTTGAGCTCCTTCTGGTAGGCGAGCACGATCTCCTGCATGCGCTTGTGCTCGTTGTGCCGCCGCTCCACTTCGACCAGCAGCTCCTCGTAGGCCGTCCCGAACAGCTCATACCACGTGGTCAGGTTGGCCAGCTCCTCGAACAGGAAGGCGGCCTCGCCCCGCCGCTCCTCAAACGCTCTCTTGTGTGTGTGTGTGTTGCACACATGACACACGCACGACACACAGAGCACACACGACCGTACACGGTTAGCACGATGTGTCATGACTTGGGCGACCATGTCAACGTCAGGCACTTGAGTGTGGTGTAGGCACCTCGTGCTCGTCGATCTGATGGACCACTTCCTGAACGTCGACGCCAAACTGTTCGAATTGCGCAAAGACCTGCGTCGCCCGCTGGAACGTTGTGGCGTACTTCTGGCATCTGTTATATGCATGACGTGTTAGTCAAGCTGTGTCGTGTCGTTGGTCGTGTGCGTGCGTGCGTGCGTGCTGTGTGCGTGTGGCGCGTGTGCGACGAATGGTTGCTCTACCTGTCTTCGATTTGCTTGGTCGATTCTTGGATGCGTTGAAGCCGATTGTAGGCCAGGGAGAGCGAACTCGGGAGCTGCTCCGCCCGCTTGCGGATGCCGGTCAGGTCAACAAATCGGGGCTTGGGACCCGCTCGACTCCTGCAGCGTTCGAACCGATGATACAAGAAGCGGGGTGCGGTAAGGGACTGGGCTGCTCTTTCTCGTATATCTCACATTGGGGGCGGGGTGGGGGCAGTACTGGAGCAAGTGGCGGAGCTGATCGCAGTGCGAGGCGATGGAAAGCGAAATGGCGGACATGGCGTTGGCTTCGTTCAACTGAAGCGATGTCTGCAGATAGGCGCCACGGGTGTGTGTGTGTGTGTGTGAGTGTGGTGGTCAGTGGAATGTGTAGAATATACATCGCACACGCACGAGACCTCATGAGGCGGATGAAGGAGCGAGGTAGCAGTACCTTTTCTGTGGGGTACGACAAGCGGAAATCGACTCGAATCTCGGCGGCGTCAGCAGCAGCCTTGAGTCCTTTGAAAGCGGTATCTACACTTTGCATGATCGTATTTACATTCCTATGCAATTTCTGCATTGTCATCAAACACGCACGCACACGCACCGCGACACGCACCAAGACATGAACACCAGGGGTTAGTTGTGTCTCACAGAACAGAGGAGTGTTCAAGGGGCCGTGGGGTGTACACAGCGTACCTCCATCTCTCGGATCTCCTGCACGGCTTGCCGCTGCAGCTTTTGTACACTTTGGCTATCCACAAAATCGTAGAGATTGGAATGTTGGCTCGTGAGAAGACCCTCTTCGAGACTGCGCGTCTTGAGCGTATCAAAGATCGCCTGCAGCGCTTCGTTCACCTGAGAACGACACGTCCTGAGACTCGGTTCACACGACCCACACACATAAGCACGCACGACACGACATGACACGACACACGACACACGACATGGCACGACACACGACACACACGACACACGACACCGCACAATCCCCATATGTCTATGTACGTACCTCGTTGCTTCGAGATTTGTACGACTGCAGCGTTCGTTGCATGCCATTGATTCGCAATCGCAGCTGGCCCGTGAGCTGACGTACAACCTTCGATTGTTATTTGGTTGGTTGGTTGGTTGGTTGGTTGGTTGGTTGGTTGGTTGGTTGGTTGGTTGGTTGGTTGGTTGGTTGTTTAGTTTGTATGTGACACGTCAGCGCACCATGGTGCGGGAGGCATTGGCATTGTCGGTAACAAACAGACGACAACTACAGGGCTTGGGTTGTACCTGGGCCTGCTTGTCGAGCTCCACCGATATGAGCTCCAGGCGCCCGTGGGAGATCTCCAGCTTCTCCGAGCTCTGCCGTCCCTGGTCGATCGCCTTCTGCGCCTGTACGCAGCCCCCCCCCAAAGCATAGGCACAAGACTGACTCAGCAACAGACCCCAGCCGCGGCCGAGCCCAACGAGCCCAAGCAACGACAACAGTCGCGGTGGGCCTGGTGGGCCTAGTGTGCCAAAAAAGAAAGAAAGAAAGATAGATGATGTGGGGGTGGGGGTAATGGTGTGTACCTGGCGAAGGTAGGCTTCCGACATGGCGACCATCTTTGTGGCCTTGCCCAGGAGCTCTTCCAGGGCCTTTGTGGTGTCCTCCCCACCTCCCATGACGCCTGGCGGGAGTGCCGAAGAAGATGATGGCGATGATGATGATGATGGAGGTGAAGTAGCGGAAGATGATGACTCCAGCTGTGTGAGAAACTGCCGCATTCCACCGCCGCCGCTGCCTGGGGGCGACGCCTGGTGGTGCGGGCGCCGTGGGTCATCCATGCCCTTCCTGGTGTACACCTGCTTACCACCTTCGCACCTTCTTCCGAGAACTTGTTGTCTTGTTGGCTTCCTCTTCGTTCGCTCTACCTTTTCTTTTATTCTTTTCTCACATAATTTCTTTTCTCCAGGCCAGGAGGACTGCTAGATTTGGGGTCCACCAGGCATTCACACATGACATGAATAGAGGTTGTTTTGTTATTTGTGAATGTGCACCTAGCCAACAGAAGATGGGGTAACACATGTGCACAACAAGGTCAAACCTTTCGCCTGTGTGAGGTTGTTGACACCTTTTGGTAACAAACTCCACTACCTAGAACTCTTCTGACATTGGGCCATTGACATCAGGTGCAGCTGCAGGCTCACCAATGGTTGGTAGCAGTGTACTTCCAGCAGTAGTGTCAACTCAACCACAACATTTTTTCAAAGCTGCCCAGTTGTGTCTTCCACAATACAACAAGCACTCAATAGTGCATATACTCCACTATTTGATGGCTTCCTCCAATACAGAAGTGTACAGAATGTGTGGGTTTCATTGATGATGACCATGGGCTCTTGAGATGGGCGTGAAGGAAGCTCACAAGCTGGTGCTGCCATTCTTTCTTCTTCAAGGATGTGTGAAAATATTTTCTTGATTATTTATTTTGGGCGCTCGGCCTTTTCCTTCGGACAGTTGTTCGCTTCTGCAACCACAACCAACACCCGCAGGCGTCTTTACCGACCTCATTTATTTCTATTTATTTACACAACTTATTATTTATTCCCTTTTATTTTCCGTAAGAAAGCGAAGACGACATGGCGGAAGTGGGCGGAGTGTGTGCGGTGGTGGAGGACTCGAGCGGGGGCGACATCGTGCTGGCCTTCGTCTACACCTCGGCGGCCGGACTATCGACCGTGCTCGGCGGAATGATCCCGTTCTTCTTCAACGTCAACGAGAAGCGATGGCTGGGCGCCGGCCTGGGCTTCGCCGCCGGCGTCATGGTCTACCTAAGCTTCGTCGAGATCCTCACCAAATCGCACGCCTACTTCGTGTGCGTAGCCGGCGACGACGGCGCCACCTGGCGCACTTCCCTCTGTTTCTTCTCCGGTACGCTCGCGTGCGCGTGCGTGTGCGGTTGTGTGCGTGTGGTTGTGTGCGTTCTATGACATGTGTGGGTGCGTGTCCCACTATGCCAGGAATGTTGATTGCGCTGGGCTTGTCACATGTGTCACACAAGCTGGAAGATCTCCAGGAGAAGGTCACCTCGCTCTTTGGCCAAACGGACTGGCACATCTGATGGTGCTCACCAACGCCATGACATTTTTTTTTCCCACAAAAACAACATTACAACTGGAATGTTGAAAATGTGGAATGTTGTGTGGTGGCATTGCTGATGGAATGCAGGCAAGACGCTGAAGGACAAGGACATCCGGACGTACGGGAGCATCGTGATTGATGACGACAGCCAGGAGCACGACGTCTTCGAGGAGAACAGCTTCGTCGACGAGGTGGAACGCGAGGACGCCCGACGGCTCTCGTACACCCCTCCCCTTCACGCACAAACAGCAACGAGCGTACACACGACACACACACACACACACACACACACACACGACACACACACACGACACACACACGACACACGACACACACGACACACGACACACACGACACACGACACACGACACGCAACTTAATGGAACCGCACACAGGAACATGGGCCTGATCACCGCGCTCGCTATTTGCGTCCACAATTTTCCCGAGGGCATGATGACGTTCGTGTCGACCCTCTCGAATCCTTCCTTCGGTACGCCCGGCTCGACGCTGAGCGGTGCGTTGGCCTGGCACTCACCTTTCTCGCTTTCTTTCCCCCTCTCAAATTCAGGGCTGGTCGTCACTCTGGCGATCGCCATTCACAACATTCCAGAGGGCATCTGCGTAGCCATGCCCATCTACTATGCCACCCGTAGCAAGTACGCTGTCATGTGCCGTGTGTGTCGTGTGTCGTGTGTGTCGTGTGTGTCGTGTGTCGTGTGGAGTGTCGTGTTGCGAGCTCGAGTTCTTACGATGGAACAGGTGGCAAGGCGTGCTTTACTGCCTCATCGCGGGCATCTCAATGCCAATTGGCGCATTTATCGCCTGGGGCGCCGTTGGCGGCACCCTAAGGTAAAGACTCCTCACTGCACTTACTCAGTAAACATGCACTGTAATTAATTTATCGATTTACTTGCATTTCTTTTCCGCCCAGCCCGATCGTTTATGCGATCCTCTTCGGCTTGATTGCGGGCATCATGGTCTTCATCTCCGTGCGAGAGCTCATCCCAACAGGTGCGCATGCCTGTGTTGTTAAGATGATGTAAGCTCGCTATGACTCTTTCTCACGCCTTCTGCGTCTTGTGTGTCACGACACAGCACACCGCTACGACAAGAGCGACGGGATGGCCACCTACGCAATGCTCTTCGGCATGGCTCTCATGGCCTTCTCTCTCTTCGCTCTCGGCGAGTGAGTGTTTCCTGAATGCAAGCATTGTTGCGCTCCAATCGCAATGAAAAACGTTGCGATCGCAACGTTTCAATTTTTACTATTGGGGGAACTAAAACCTTGACTCTACGTTCAAGCACCGCGCAATGTTGAGAACCGCGATGCGGCGACTCAATATCAACTTCATGCACTCTCCACAGTTCAAGCAACTCATCAAGACAACAACAACAACTCACCAGCAACTCATCAAGACAATGCTCGCCACTCAGACCAACACTACAGCTTCGACCAGCCGGCTCGCGCGGCCTGGGCGCGGCCATTGCCAAGCAGCTGGCGGCGGAGGGCGCCACCGTGGCCGTCAACTATGTCAATGGAGCGGAGGCGGCCAAGGCCGTCGTGTACGAGATCGAGCGGGCTGGCGGCCGCGCCCACGCCTTCCAGGCCGATGTGGCCGTGGGGCGCAGGTGTTCGACCTGGTCGACCAGGTGGTCAAGCGCTGGGGCCGCCTCGACATGTTGGTCAACAACTCGGGCGTGTTCACGGTCGCGCCGCTGGCCGACGTGACCGAGGACGACGTCGACCGCCTCCTGGCGGTCAACTACAGGGGCACCCTGTGGGGCATCCAGGCCGCCTCCACAGTTCTCACCTGGCGGTCAACTACAAGGGCACCCTGTGGGGCATCCAGGCCGCCTCCACAGTCGCCAGGTTCCATTGCACTAATCAACACACGAACGGCAGACGTGTGGAGCGTACGCGGCAACGAAGGCGGCGGTCGAGGTACTGACGAAGACGGCGGCCAAGGAGCTGGGTCCGCGGGGCATCCGCGTCAACTCGGTCGTGCCGGGCGTGATCGAAACGGACATGGCCGACACTCTTCCGGCCGAGTTCAAGGCCACCGCCTAGGCCCAGACCCCTCTCGAGCACCGCTTCGGCACGGCCGAGGAGGTGGCCCACACCGTGGCCTTCCTGGCCAGCCCGCAGGCCAGCTGGGTGACCGCCCAGAACATCGAACTCGCCGGCGGCTTTTAGACCAATACTGAAGCAGAAAAGCACCAGATTGGCTGGAATGATGAGAATTTAGGAGTGAATGCACCCTGAGTAGGTGAACTGGACGGTCACTGAGGCCCTGACCTCCTCGGCGTCGTTCATGATGACAGGCGCGCTGGCTTGCGTGAACGAACGGGAGGCCTCCGCAGCAAATCCGTAGTCGCTGATGGAGAAATGGACACATGTGAGCAGAAAAAGCGATGTCAGGCAGCAATGGTTGTGGTGGTACGTACTTGTGGCCGTAGCCGTAACCGGGGGAGTTGGCCACGATGGAGTAGATGCCGTCCCACCTGCACATCAGCTTCGCCATGATCGCCTTCGCCTGGGTAATCGCGTCGTCCAGGGCCAGGGACTGCGCCTGCAAGTAGTACTGCCGCACGTTGCCTGCAATTCGCGACACACACCACACACCACACACCACACACCACACACCACACACCACACACCACACACCACACACACACGGCCAACGACACATTAAGGTGTCAGTTCATGCACGACGTCGAAGCACTGGGCGGAGGGAGTCAAGACCAGAGTTTGGGCTGGTGATGAACTGCACGTTCTGGATGATCTGGCGCCGTTGGCGATGGCGACCGCAATGGCTTCGCCAATGGTCTCCACGGGGGTGTTGAACGACACGAAGTTCTTCACGCCGTAGCCCGAGACTGGCGGCTGCTCCCAGTAGGCCAGCGGGGCAAACGCGAAGCTGTCCGTCTTCACCTGACTCACAACCTGCGCGTTCGAAGGAGGCCAGGCATGAGCATAAGCGACTAACTTTCAGCTCCAGAAGCTTTTCTTGGCTTGTTGTGCACGGGGCGCTCGCACGCACCAAAGTTTCGTTGGCCAGGAGCGAGTTGATGATTTGGGACATGAAGGTTTGGGCGCGGAGAAGACAGGCGGACGCATCTTCGTCCTTGAGCTCGAAGCCCACCGTGACCCTGCCCACGGTACTCGAAGGGGCCGTCACCACACCTTCAGGGGGCAGGACATGAGGCCACATCATAA